GACTACACAGAAGCAAATTACTGTACCAAATACATATAGAATATAGTATACATCTTACAGTAACCTTAAATGTTTACTGTAAGATGAAACAAGTGAGATAGCCAATAAATCTTATGGCTTGTTCTGTACACTTGTGCACTCTGGAATTACTAGGGAACAGCAAACTACTACTTCATATTTCTGAATACACAATCATTTCTATATATATTGTGCTGTAATCCTGTAAGCCAGTGAAAACCACCTGCAAGCTCTGGCAGGAGTTTCTAATGACTGTGGCCCTGATCTTGCATTCAGGACACTCTTTTACTCACTTGGAAAACAAGCAATTTAAGTGGGGCTCCACACTACATGATTTGGGCCTGCACTGAGTCATCTTTTAACTACTTCTAACTTTGTGGAACAAATTCTGAAGTCACCTCAAGTAAAACCATATGCAAACAAAAACAAGAAACCAAAATGCTTTTTTAAGGGGAAAAAACATCCTAACATACAGTAATCCACAATCACAGCACAGAGCAACTGGGATTTTTATAACAATTCAAATAAGGAGGTATTACTCTATCTGAGGCACATTAGCTACAAGATAATTGCACATAATGACTTTTACCACTCTGCTTCAGGACAATAAGGAAATGCCTTTGCATTTTATGTATAATGGAATTTCTTAGTTAAATGAAGTTGCCAAAGAGGAATTGTTCTACTGGTGAAGCTACAAAAACAAAAACTGTGGAGCCCAAAAGTGCCATTAGGCATGAAGACATTAGTTTTATTGTCTTATGATACTTTGTGGATAATTTATATTTCCTTGCTAGACTCACCTTCATGAGAACATGCCAAAATATTCAAACTTTGTGGCTTAAATTTAGGCAGTATGTTGGTATCTAAATTTTTCACCATACTCGGCATTCAGCACTACTGAAAAAAGGAATGCATCAGACCATTTCATGTTAGATATCTAGTTCTGACTAGACAGTCATATACCATGAATATGTGTGAATGCTATTACAGAATGCATCCCATCAACTGTGGACTTTTTGATTTCACACTCCAAAAATTCTGATCCCAACCATATAAAATTCAGAACCCAGATATCACTATTTTTTGGACTGTAGATGAAAAAAGAAAGTTCTGTGGAGGCATTCTAGACAAATTCAAATTATGATATAACATATCATATCCTATACTATCTTGTAAAACTATAGAGTAAAATATACTATTCCTCTGTTTTCCCCATTTAAAATACATCAACTCATGTACATATTAATTCCAAGAATAATATGAATATATTAAATGCTTAGTGTTAATATAGCTATTTAAACTGAATACTCTTAGCATTTTCAAATATTTCCTACTTATGCTTTTCCTACAGAGAATTTAATTTTCTCTTATTAAATCTTGAAAAATATTACATTGAAAGAACATTATATAGATTACAAAGCATGCAAGATTTAGCATATGCCAAAAATAAAGTTGTCTGTTCACCATGACTTTGTCCCCCTTGCGCACATCTTCATAGTCTTTACATGAACACACAGTGTTTTTTTCTCAGAGAGTCCTTTTGTTTCTATCTCCTGCCTCTCCAGCTCTTGTCTATGTCCCTTTCCTTGCTGCTAAACTCCTCCCTAAGCTCCAGCTCTTGCCCCCAACCTTTCCCAGCTTCTCCGCTTCCCTACTTTGGCTCCTTCCTTCATCCCTTTCCCTGTCCTTCCACCCCCAACTCCTACTCCTGAATTTTCCCACATCTACTCCTCTTCCTCTCCTTGTTCTTGTTCCTTCCATCTTTTGCTTGGCTCAGATTCTGCCCTTGTAAATTGGGAGCAGGGATGGAAGGACATCTCCCAAAGGTCTTTGCCCACCCCTCTACTCTACAAGTCTAAAGTTAAAGCATTACAATGCTAGAAGCAACTGAAAATGAAATTATAATGGAAATGTCAGGCAATCTTCACACCAGCAGTCACCTGCATCACTTATAATGGAAGACATACTGGACACATCTATACATGCATTTTACTGCAGAGTTGACTAAATAACTCTGCAGTAAAGCAACACCATCTATACATGCACAGGTATTAGGGCACAGTAGATTAACTGCACTGTAAAAATAGCACTGTCAGGGACAGGGACTTACTTACGGTGCAGTTACTTACTGCACCAAAGCGCATGTGTAGATCATGACTAGGACTGGCTGGGCTATGAGGGTACAAAACTGGAGGGGCTGCCTGCCACCCACCCCTCATGTTAGCACTCCTGTGTCCCTGTCAGCCTCTCTGCCACCCAACACTGGCACCTGGAGCCTTGGGCTGACCCTGCCTCCCCGCCCCCTGTTCCCTTGAGTCCTCTGTCCCAAGTCTCCCAGGAGCAGTGTCTGCACATGTGCCCTGGACTGCAACAGTCTGAGCATCTACACATCCGATTAAGGCACCATGATAAACTCTAGCACAAATACACCACAGTTTATCACATCCCCTTACTGGCACATGCAGCTACGCCCACTGTGATTGGTATGCTGACCAAGGGGTAATTCAAAAGTAATTTCCTGTAAAATCAGTGGGTCATTATGGATCACTACAGTATAGTAGCTTACAAGTACAGAGATCTGAATTCACTATTTAATGCAAATTACACAACTGCATGTAAAAGAAATTATATATCCTTATAGCTGTTAAACGAAGGCTGGTAGGAAGGGCATACCCATGGCAAAAAAGTAGCTCTGCAGGCAAGGACCACTTAAAATAGAACTTTTTACCATTAAGGGAAAGCAACTTGCCATTTCCAACAGTTGTCGTCATAACCTTCCATGACTGGGCTCTGTGCAAACCTTGGCTGTTTTCTCATGTGTGGAACAGTAAATATTGACAAGTCTCATTAGGATCCTAGGCAGCAGTTATGAAAAATATTGGTTGTGATAAAAGAACTAACAATCTGGTAAGTTTCACTCTGGGGCTACTTGGCAAGTCCCAAGAAACAATAGAAACAAATGGTAGAGCTAGACACTAAGGAGGACTGGAGTATAAGAACTTCAGACTGTCCCCGTCCCCCTCTCGCAGACACAGAGCAGCCAAAAGCAACAGTGCAGTGGAGAACTCCTACCACCATCATCAGGAGAACGAGAGAGGAGCAGGGAAGGGGCAATCTCATTCCCTTTTTACAAATCTCCATAAGACTCTGACGCAGGATAGGACAAGAGAGACAGAACACGCATTCTGCTCTGGTACCTGCTGGGTTGGGGAAAACCTTCCTGTTTGCCTGTTAGATAAGAGACCAATATGAAAACCAGTAGCCTGATCCAAGGTCCTGGGCAGCATTTAGATCAAATTCTCTGAACCTTTCCATCCCCAGCAGGCGGGGTGTGTGTGTGTGTGGGGGGGGGGGGGCATTGAATACTGAGTGGCATTTTGCTTTAGCCTCCTTAAGCAACTGGGCTTGCAAGAGGAGCATGCCCTAAAGAAGTATATCCACACACCCCTTTGTCTTTGAGTCATCACAGGAGGGGCAAGAGGTAAAGGGATTAGCAGAACTAACCAAGTCAAGGATGCAGATGTTTTTGGCACTCTGCCCAAAAATGTTGCCAGCCCCAATCTAGCCCTCTGGAAGCATTAGGTAGGGAAAGTGAGGAATACATGGCATGTTCCTGGAGGAATCAGTGGAAAAGAAGAATCATGACATTTATGGTTTGCTAAATCAAAGTAGCTTTTTTCATTCCAAGTTCGACAGTACTCCTGCACTATTGCTGTAGTCAGTTACCAGCAGTATAACATTTATTAAAAACAGTTCACGGTAGTATAATATATGTGCATTTGACAGAGTTAAGCAAGGCTGTTTTAGCAGCATGGGAAACAGTGAGTATTCTTTATATTATTTTTCTTTACCAACCTAAGCATTTCAGTTTACCTGCTTGATATGACCTTAGATGACTGCATGAAATTAAATCAAAGAAGGCTGCTAGGAAAAACAAATAGGAAGCAAAGCAAGACAGAGATAAGAGACCTACAAAAGGGAAAGCCAAGGCTTCCTCTGGGTACACTCTATGGTGAGCACTTACTTGGGAAATGGCTGACTACTAAACTTCAGCCTGGGTTAAAACTTCAACCTGGGATTTAATCTTGCCAAGCCTCAGCCTAGGATCAAAGCAACATACCTAGCAATTGAGTGCAGTGAGCAGACAGCATAACAAATCTCTGACAGATACATGCTGACAGACTTCTGCAAGGCCATCTGTCTATATCACAGGCCAGGGGTTTGGTTCCTAGGCTGAGTGGAACTTACCCAAAGCTTGAAAGGCAAGAATAAAGTTTAGAAAGAATTGATGCGTTGAGGTCTTTTCTTCTCTTTTCTCTGTATGTACAGTACCCCTGGTGCTTAAATAATGCCTTATTTTTGAAGAAGCTGTTTTTGAACTACTTAAAGCACTGGAGCCAACCAGGGGCCAACCATTTTGACAGGTTTGCCACAAATTAGCCCCACATCCTCTCCAAAAATCACTCTAAATCCCTTTCCCTTACCTGATTTTCTGGTCAGCTTTCTGCTCCCTGCCTTTTGCTCTTTGCCCAACCTGCTGCTATGCTTTCTGCTTCCTTCCCCATACTCCCTGCCTGATCTGATGCTCTGTTTTCTGTTCCCTGTCCTACCCTGCCACTGTGCTGCCTGTCCCCTCCCCAATTTGCTGTGTGTCACACACAAAGGGTGCCCATGCCCATGCCACTTGTGCCATAGGTTGGCCACCCCTGACTTAAAGCATCTGCTGGTCATGGGCTCCCCTTAAAAAAGGGTTTACAATGGTGTCAAACTTGGCTGGGTATTATGATTGGTGACCATAGAAGGGATGCCATGTAGAGAACCAGTCTAGGAGTAGAAGGACCACACTTTTCTACTCAGAGGGGGTTAAAGGTAGTAAAACCCATCACAGGGAACACTTGAGAAGAACAAAGAGAACTTAAGCTTATCTGACCCATGCCCCCATAACAAAGACTGTTGTTGTTTACACACCATACAATTTGATCTTGAGTAAGACTTCCAATCTTCTTAGAATGATATTTAATAACATGGAACACTTTGATATTCAGTTCTGAAACACTTTTGCCAAGAGTGCACAACTGTGATTACAGACTTTCCGTCAAATTTTACACTTTAAAATGCAACTGAAGAGAAAAGACTGGATCATCCTGGGAAAGAAAAATCAGCACAGTATCCTTTTCCTAGAAAACAAAAAATTTAGGCATTCCTAGATATTTTTAGTGCTCTAATTTTTAAAATGATGGATGACTGAAGTTGTAAAGTGGTCTTCTTTTCTCTGTAGACTGCAATCTAGCGAAAAAGAGAATGAATTTCTAGGTTCTGAACTCATACAGTTGTTTTAAATCCATTTTGAGTAGTGTACTGTAAACCAAGTTTAAAAAATCACCCCACCAAAAGCCTAATCTGATGCATTCATATCCAGTTTGGTGTCATAAACTTCCTTATGCTACATTAGTCAGCAACTTCATCCAAAATTAAAGAGCCATGAATAATTTGTTTCATTCAGTACAAAACATAATTTGTTTAATTTTAGACTCATGATTTTATTTCATCTTTGTTTTTCATGGTGGTTTCCACTGGAGGTTTATCCTTACCTAAGATGTCTTGCAGATCTGTTGACACATCATTTGAACAATTCTCATTGTCACATAAATCTCCCTTTGCAACTCCTGGATTTTCACAATCTTGGTTTGGATTTTCATCATCTTCTTCGCTTTCTTTTTTGGAATGAGAAATGTTCTCCTTTTTGTCTGAAGGATCTTGAACTTCTTCTAATTTGGAATTCTGACTTTCAGCATCATTGCTCTTTTCACCATTACTCTGCTTAGCAGCTTCACAATTGATTTCTGATCCATTCTGGTCATTTACTTCACCATTTTTTGTAAGTTCTACCTTTTTTTCTTCAGCTGCTTTGCTACTTGAGCTACCAGTTGTAGATGTGTTTTTCAGATCTTTTTGTTTCTTATGTTTAGAAATGTAACTGTTGTGAACAGAAACTGGGGATGCTGACTTTTTACTTGTTTTGTTTCCTTCTGATTTCTGTTTTTTTGGTGGTCCCCAGATGAAATGCTCTGAAGGGGCATAATGCTGCTGGGCAAATCTCAAGAGCTTCCTCCTTTCTCTTCGGTCTCTAATAGTATAAACAAAATATTCTAAAGCACTTTGCTTAATATTAGGAATGGTGTCTTCCACGAGAGCTTCATGGAGAATAAACTTCACAAGAGGAGATTTGAAACTTTCATATCCAAGCTCCCCAAGGCTCTTCAGAATGCGAGTGATTCTTAAGTAGTTGTGTTGGGACCTGAAGGAAAAGACTGACTGTACTCAGATAAAAACAACGTAACAAAAAAGTTATAAAATTAATTTAGTTAAAACCAGAGAGAGAACATCATCTACTAGGTTATAGAACCAGAGCTGGCTTACCTTTGGATGACTTTGGATATGTTATTTAATCATTCTGTGCCTTAATTTCTTATTTGTAAAATGCAGATAATAATGCTTAATAATACCTTCGTTGCAGGAGTAGTGTGTAAAATAATTAATATCTGTAAAGAACTTAAATATTTTTGGATGAAAATAACTAAGAAAGTAACTAATATGATTTATTTATTGTAGCAATATTTCATTGTCTTAAAACTTGCTAATTAGCCTTTAGAAGACTTGAATCATGCAAAATGTTCAGTGAGTAAGACCTGGGGCTCCTGAGAAATTCTGTCTTATTCTGGCTTGATTTAAAGCCCAGTAAGGTCACAGAATTATAGAATCACTGGAAAGCAGTCCTGGAAGGGAATTTTTAGGAGGTTATCTGGTTCAGCCCCCTGCTTAAGGCAGGATCATCCCTGACTATACCCTCCCAGTTAACTGTCTGCCTACCCTGCTCTTGTACAATTCCATGGATGGAGACTCCACTAGCCCTCTAGGTAAACTGTTTGAACTACCCTCAGTCAGAAAGTTCTTCCTAATCTACAGCCTAAAGTTCTTCTACTGCAGTCTGAGACCATGGCTTCTAATCTTGTCCCTTACAGCCAAACAATGGTCCCATCTCCATCCATTCAGGTCAATGGAATGACTCATCTGATTACTAAATCAATGAACCATTTGATGATTTTTTTAAAAAACAAATATTATTCACCCCATTTGCTCATAAGCAATCCTACTTTTAAGAAACCAGGGTGTGCTCATAATGAAAGGAGAAAATATTGCAAGCAAACAAACATACTTCAATTTTAAGGTCAGAAGAGTTAGAAAATTAGTAAGATATAAATAAATAAATGCAATTTTTGGATATAGTGTGGGCCACATTCAATGCAGACTTACTTCCTAGATAATCCCTACAAGGGCAATATGCATATTGCAAAAGTTGTAGCAAGACTTGGTCCAGTACATGTTCAAGCTATATACTTAAATGTTATAGCTACATGCATTAAATAGTAAAATGTTTAATTTGGGGGAAGGAAACTTAACTCAGCTCCACTAAAAGCACGGTTCATTTGTTCCTTCTTGAAAAAGACAAACAAATACTTAGATAATCCAGTGTTTCTTAACAGTGCAGAAGTGTCACTTTAGAAACAGCAGAGAAGTTTGTACAATAGCCTATTATACAACTTAATTTGGAATTGTGCTCTTATTCACTTCAAAGTTCTATTTTCAGGGAATTCATTGCTTTTGGTTGGACTGACAGCAGGTGAGCAGCATAATCACAAGAATATGTAGGAGAGATGCTCACATACAGACACAAAACAATCACTGACTGTTTCTTTTTGTCTCCCTTTCCTGGCATTCTTTGGAAAATACATCTGGTCTTTCTCTAGACAACAAAGGATGAAAATTCTATGCCAATTCTAAAGTATGTAGGGCATGCCATTACTTACTCATTCAAATGCTGAAATCTTTCTTGCCAATTAGCAGCTCGTGCTACATTTCCAGTTTTATCAATTAGTTTTATTCCAAAAAACTCCAGCATCATTTTGTAAGCTAACAGGAATCTTCTAATTGCTTCTTTAGTTTTCTTGAATTCCTAACAAACAAACAAAATTAATCTAAAATCCAAAACAGTCCTAAAATAAGTACTTTGCATTGTAGACAACAAGTATCAATATTAACCTGACAGTTTACATTAAGCAAAATTTTTATTACCTCAATTTCATATGTAGTTAATTCTTTAGCATAGAAGTTCAAACCTTGTTCTCTCAGTGGGAAAAGCCTGTTGGAAAAAAAAAAGTTTGTTACAGTTTACTGTGGAAGAAACACTTAACCAAATCAAAGGTTTAAAACAGAAATAGCCAATAAGTAACCAACCACTGTATATAAGTGTGGTTATGTTCCAGTTTTTCATAGTCTCCTTTCCATTTATTTAGGACTTCTTCAATATAGACGCCTGTATAAATAAATCGGGACACTATTAGGTCGCCATCCAAAACAACTTTCAAGTATATCAAGAAAGCACATGTGACCTGAATATAAAACTAAAATATATAACTTAGTCCCATATCACACCCTATAGTCAAGACAAGCCCTTAAATTAAAAAACACCCATTAGCACAGACCACAAATAGAGACCAATTAATATAGATCAGCTCTTCAATTGGTGCAAACTAGCACAGCTCCATTGATTTCCACTTAAATCAGTGGAGCTACAATGATTTATACCAGCTGAAAATATGGTGCTGTAACCTGTGTAAGGTACATTGATCATCATGCATTCAATGGTCCAGGTTTCTTATTGCATCTAACTTGACAAGCTACTTAGCTACGATATTCAGAGGGAGATGTCTAATCATTACTTTAACACTTGATCCTATCACAGATGTTCAAACCTTGTTTTCTCAGTGGGAAAAGCCTGTTAGAAAAATAAAAGCTTGTTACAGTTTACAATGGAAGAAATGTTAACATATGATCCTTGTTAAGTAACATGTTCTTGATGCAGGAAGAAAGTAATCCATTCAAGCATCTCCCCAAATGCTAAAACCATTAGGACCCAGGAATCTGTTTCACTTAGTTGTAGGTAAAAATTCTGATGCCTCTGGTATTGCTAAAGATTGAGTTTTTCTAGTCAGACAGGAACAAACTACTATGATCTGAGAAACTCAACTTGTACTAGCCTCAAAAGATTATTTGGCCTTCTAGCAACCGCTCCAATCCAACACGAGAGGGACAAACCACACACACACGAAAATTAATTATTTCTACCACAGCAACACTTAGGAGCCAAAGTCATGTGTGAGGATGAAAGATGTTCTTTATCCCCATCACAGAATGATTTAATTATAGCAGCAAAATTTTCAGAGGTGCCAATGCTAGCTCCTCTCCAATTTAAAACTACAATAGTTCAGCAAGCCCTCAAAGTTCATAAGTCAAACTAATCAAAATAATGACATTCTTATAGGTTTGCTCTCTTGAATTTTGAACTTCCCTTGCTAGAATTGTAAAATTCCTAGTTTTTCCATAGCTTCAAAAGAAACCATTTTCCCCACAAGAAATGCCTTCCTTTTCCAGACCTTCTGTCTCTACCCCCCTCTATGGCCAGGGTGAGGGCATATTTATACCCAGCATTGGTGTTGATGTAGTAAAGGATCACCCTGAGAGGCTGAACACCTTCAAGTCAGCTAGTCCTGACAGATTACACCCTAGAGTACTCAAGGAACTGGCAGGTGTCATAGCCCAAACTTTGGTAAAAATATTTGAAAACTCGTGGCGCTCAGGTGAAGTACCCGAGGACTGGAAGAAGACCAATGTGGTACCCATTTTCAAGAAAGGGCGGAAAGTAGATCCCGGGAATTACAGGCCAGTCAGCTTGACCTCAATCCCTGGTAAGATTCTGGAGAAAATTATCAAGGAGACCCTTCTGGATAAGCTGGCTGAGGGCAGCACCCTGAGAGATATCCAGCACAAGTTTGTCACTGGTAGGTCTTGCCTGACCAATCTCATCTCCTTCTATGACCAGGTGACTTATTGCCTGGACAAGGGAGAAGAGATTGACGTCATATATCTGGACTTGAAATAAATAAATAAAAGGATTTGATCTGGTGTTCCACGACCTCCTCATGGAAAAACTGACCAACTGTGCCCTCAGCTACACTACAGTCCAATGGCTGGGAAACTGGCTTTGAGGTTGGACCCAGAAAGTACTGGTCGATGGTAGTGAATCGTTATGGCACGCTGTGACCAGTGGCGTACCCCAAGGCTCTGTTCTTGGACTCGTTCTCTTTAACATTTTTATCAACAATGTGGACTTTGGTGTCAGAAGTGTGCTGGCTAAGTTTGCCAATGACACTAAACTTTGGGGCATAGCGTCCACACCTGCAGACAGGCTAGTGATCCAGGCTGACTTGGATAAACAGCAAGTGGGCAGATACAAACCTGATGATGTAAACCAATAAATGTAAGGTATTACACTTCGGGGAAAAAAACCCCACAGCATAATTATAGGCTTGGTAG